TGTATTTGTTCGATATCCAACTAACTATAATGTCTATAAATGCAGACCAGTGTATTTGTTTGATATCCAACTAACGATAATGTCTATAAATGCAGACCAGTGTATTTGTTTGATATCCAACTAACGAAGAGTTCATCCATGTAAAGATCTTAGAATGGTTTTCACTCTAAAACAAGATATCAGTTTACGAGCATGGTCGTAAAACGATTTCACTGTTGTTTTTTAAGTGTCTTGTTTCAGTTTAAAGTAGTGTTACAACTCTTTCTACTGTCATTATCAAATTTCTCGCACTGCGAGTTAGGTTAGTCCTAGGAGTTGAAACTATTGTACTGATTTAAAACATTTTCTTCATAAACGTTTTTTGCATCAATAATTCAAGAGTTCCAACTTCTTGTTGACTTTTCAGGACAACATATAGTTTAATAAAACAGATTGGCAGAATATTTTTTTCTACTTTCGTACATAATTCTGAAAAAGTGTGACTTGTTTGCTTGTAATTTTGCTCTGCTATAGTCTAGTGTATTCTTTGGTTTTAAGTGTTGTTTCATTTATCCTTCATTTTTTTCCCTCCACGAAAAATTAAATATGATAAACTTTTAATGATGTCTATTCTTGGATTTACTGTAGCAATCTGTGCAGATGGTAGTTACTATAAGTTCGTCTTCAACTACAAGGGTGATTGCAGTCGAGATGTGTACACTCAGTTTCTAGAGATGACGGACGATAAGGATGAGAAGTCGTAATAAAGGAAAAGACAAACCTGGCTAGAATATGCCAGTAAAATTACTGATAGAACTAGTAAAATTAAAGAAATTGGTAGGTTATATTACCTAGAGGATGGCAAGATATGAAAATCTTAAGTATGAATAAAACTAATAATCGATGTTTTCAGAAGAACTTTGTCTGTAATGCAGCATTTGATAAAAGTAGGAACAAGTGAATAATATGAAAGATTGTGCTATATTTTTGTTGTTTGTTTTAAATATAGATTAAAATCATTTTCAGTTGTTGTAATTTTAAAACTTTCCACAGTTTTTATAATCATCCTCTACTCTGACCGTGCTCAAATTCTTAAAACATTGAATTATTGAGTGTAAACATTGAGAGATAAGATATGGATATTTTTGTACAACAACATCTTGCATTTATCACACATTTTAGTCACAAATATGAGAGGTAAAAGTGTAAGAATTATTAACTTTTTTTTTTGGTAAAAATCACAAAGTTGGTACTTCTGAATTCGGAAACCTCTGAAATTGCTGATACTAAACCCGAATAAATTATAAAGTCTTTTCAAAGTATTAATTACAGTGTTTGTTTGATCTTATTTTCATCGACATTGTTCCTAAGAAGTAGCAGTATTTTGTATAGAAGTTTGTCTTATTATTTTTGTAATTTTTTTCGCCTCGAAGGCAATCACGTGACACTTGTTTTAGGTAGTGGAGAGATGCAGCAAGAATTCAGATTAGTTGTGTATATATGTAGTTCTCTGTTTAGAGTTATGGTTATGAATGTGAAACAACATTTCGGGTAACGGACAAACGTTATATGTTGGTTGTTAATTAATAGCTATCTACTGTTTTGTCTGATAAAGGCTGTGTATTTTCATTCTTTTGGTCATTAAAAGGTAAATTTCTCCACAATCTACTAATCTTTCAATCATACGTTGTACATTCAGATATTTTGTATGCAAATAAAGTTAAAATGTTTTTTTTATAGTTGAAATACATTTATATTGGTACAGCTATAATATACAAATTTACAAAAATTAAGCCTTAGGCACTGTCTGAAGCTTAAGTTAAGTAGTTTGTAAATAAACTGTATTTCTATAGCTTTTGCTTGTGATTAGTAGTATTCAGCACAGTGTTTTGAACACAAAGATGAATTATGTACATTGTTAAGCTTAAAACAAACATCTTGTAAAGAAACTATAACCTCTTCAGACTTGTTGGTGATTAACAGTACTTTTTAAATTCAGAATCCCAAACATGCTACTTTAGAAACATATAGCTTATTCATCACTCATCTTCAGTTCTTACTTATAATTAATAGTATTCCACATCATATTCTAAACATCAACACTATTAATGTAGGTGTGGCAGTTTAGAAATAAATCGCTAATAATTGGACATCATTCTCTATCCCTTTTTCAGGTAACTAATGTAGCATGCTTCAACAATATCTGGAAACAAAAATGCCTAATGCATGTTTGTTTGTTTAGAAATATGTATCATGTAAATGGACCATGCTTATATATATATATATATATATATAGCTTTTGCCTGTGATTAGTTTCATTCTCCACCAGAGTTTGATGATGAGTGGCGATGTGACAGTTTAGAGCTTTTATCCAAACTGTCCTTATTCCAGTTTTGTTGACAGTTACTACTATAGCTCACTCTCACCATATTCTGAACACATTAATAATTGATACAAGTTTATTAGTTTGTGTACAGTACAGTATTGTTTTTGTATATTTTTAGAAATGAAAACTTATTTGGCAGGTTTGATTTGTATAATTTTGCTTCGGATAAATTGCTGTTATATTGTTTCTGTTCGATATTGAGGTATTTCCATCTTTGCTAGTTGTGATATGTCGTTATAAGTACATTTCTCCACATGATTAATTTTTGATTGAGTTGGAGTTTATTTATGTAACGAAATTTTAATGGCTGTTTTTCTCTTGGTGTTCTATTGATGTTATTAGTTTACACTATATTAGTTAGCTTCCTAACTATATATATAGTACAGAGGTGATTAACTAGCTCTGATAGGTAAGACGGACGTAAAGATTGTACCAAATTCATACTTATCTAACAGTTTGAATTGATGTGATAATTTTTTGTGTTTTAAGCAAAATAGGGATATTTAGGAATGTATATATCAATCAAAATATTAAATATTTTAATCAAAAAAGAAAAGCAAACTTTAAGAAGTTTCCATGGTTATCCCTTAACCATGGAAACAGATCAAACATTTATTTTCTTTATCATGTTTCATTTTTTTTACTATGGATATCTATTTTATTAAGAATATGACCTGATATTAGGAACCATTGAGGCAAGAGTACATACATTACAGTAGCTTAGGCTTCAGTCATGTTAGAGACCAATTTTGAACATATCTTACTAAATGACCATCAACCTTGTTTTTCACAATCAGTATATTACATTTAAAGATATATTTTCATGATATTTATCATTAACTACTCTTAGGAAGTGTGAAATACAGTTTTGGGGACATTTTAGAAGGATTTAATTTCTCAAAATAAGTGAATTTTATTACTTCCTAACATCTTGGTATTAAATAGCTTTCCTTTTGGTCAGCATGAAATTTCACATTTGTTAAAAGAAAAACAAAAAAATTAATATAGCTTCCTTATTTTATTAAGATTCTCATCATCATCTAAAAATTCTGTATTTTGAAAGTACTTTTGGAATTTAGTGTCACTGGTGTTAATTTAGGACTATGTACTTCGTACGAATTGGATAAACCAGTATTTTCAGTTGGAAATCAAAACCTTTTTGATAATGTGTAATTCAAACAGTTGATCATAAGATTATGAATTACACTCTTGGAATCTAGTGGCTATTAACAATTGATTCTGGGTATTTATGGGAGACATATTTCACTGGTACACATCAGTAGAATCAAACAGACAACTTGCTTAGTTTGAAAGCAGAATGGGTTACTTGAGTTGTTGTTTATCGATTGTCAAACATTGTCCATTTTCCAAACTACCTACTGCAGCTTTATGTACAACTCTAAGCATTCTACCAATACTGGGGCATTTTGGCTTTGACGGTATTTAAAACTCTTATATAAGAAATGTGCCTAAAATATGACATTAAATTAAAAAAACATTTTATAACTAAAAATGAAATAAAGAGGTCAAAAATTACAATAGTTCACGTAAACAATGTTCCCTCAAAATTTTCTTTGTTCTGGGTGGACTACAAACTCCCCTGAATTACAATTGTTCATGTAAACAATGTTCCCTCAAAGTTTTCTTTGTTCTGGGTGGACTACAAATTTCCCTGAATTACAATTGTTCATGTAAACAATGTTCCCTCAAAGTTTTCTCTGTTCTGGGTGGACTACAAACTCCCCTGAGCACTACCTTTTTGTCCATAGCAGAACTCCCCTGAGCACTACCTTTCTGTCCATAGCAGTTTCTATACTTTCCTCTTTAAAAGCTGAACAACAGTTTATGTACTGCTGTTGGCACCTTACATTTGGACATGGTATTGTTTAAATTGAAGGTCTGTGTCCTCCACGTGAAACTCTTATCAACTGAATAAATTGTGAATGGCCTGTTGTTTTTGATGCATGGTACTTGCTAGATTACTATGTGGCCATGCATGCTTATAGCATAGAGGTAGTATTGCAAGTAAGTATAATGATATTGACAGAATTATAATGCCACCAAATGGATAAATACTTTCCGATATGTGTATTTCTATCCTGATTTAACTACTACCTTTAATGAGTTAGGCTATTCAATAGTGATTTTCGGGTTTATAATGTTCTGGAAAAGATGATTCACAAAAACCATTTAATTAGTAATTTACTGTAAAATAGCTGTGTTTTGTGCTGGAGAATAATACATAGGAAGTTTTTGTACGAAATAAAGTGCACTTTATGATAAAATAAATAAAAAAACCCGCATACTTACAGACATTCTGTATCTTGCAATATTCTGAAATGTTGATCCTTTTTATATTGGTACACCTATAAACTTAGCAACTATTGGCTAGAAGACTTTTTTTAAGCCCGGGTGTTATTTGTTTATTCTCTAAGGTATTTGTCTTTCTGAAAATTGTTTTTTGTAATTATAGCCGTTATTATGATATCTTATAATGTGATAAAATAGTAATTTATGTCTGTTTATATTTTTAATTCACTTGATGTAGTAATTTAGCTTTTCTTGTCTTGAGGTGAATTAATAACACTGAAATTACTCCAACATTTGTAACTGAAAGGAAGGGGTTAATAGTAAAAGAAAATGAAGTAATGATGTTTTAGATATCGAGGTTTAAGAAGTATTTATATACATAAGAAAGAAGTACCTAATTATGAGATTAATTTCAAGCACCAATAGAAAATCTCGGGCCCAACGGTTGGTTGGCACCCCCCCCACACACACACTACTGTTGAAAACTAATGCAAGAATTACACTACATTTTGAGGCTGTGGGTGCATTGTAAGAGTGATGGTTAAGTCACTTCATTCTTATCTGGTATTTCCAAATTAGGGATAGCTAGCCCAGATAGACTTTGAGTAGCTTGTTGTTCATTACCAAAAATAAAATATTGTAAGTTACACGTTATATCAACAGAAAGGCCTCGATTCAGATAGTGTAGTATCAAACTCCCAGGAGAGGAGGAACCTTTTCTGCTTAAGGAAACTTGAGGGATTGTATATAATGTTTATTTTGCAAAATAAGGTCATGTATTGTAGATGTTATTGAAATGTGGTATTTTCTGTTTAACAACAATTTGAAGGATTATATATAATAATTAAAATACCTTAACAAATATTTTCTACGCATTATTTAACTTTAAGATTTATTCATTTATTAACTAGAATTGAAAGCTTGTACCAATTAAATCTTAAAATTAAATGACTTGTTTAAAAAACGTCTGTTAATCTATTCGGCTTAACTTCTAATTCCACGTTTATTATTGTAAGACAGTGGGAAATACTTACCCAGTAAAAGTCATTAATTTCTGAATGTTTTCTGTTAAA